TGGGCACGGCGCCTCGAGGTGGGCGGCTGCGGGGGGCGGGGGGCGTGCGGGGGGCCCACCCTGCCTGTGCCTACCCTGTTCCCCTCTCAGGGCCCCACCCACCACCTCATATGCCTGTGGACCCCCTGCATGTCCCGTGGTGGGGGCTGGCCTGGCACCCTGGCCTCCCTGACCTCCTTGCTGCCCCTAGACCAGTGCCCAGACACGTGCAGGTTCAATGCCGTGTGCCTGTCCCGCCGGGGCCACCCCCGCTGCTCCTGCGATCGCATCACCTGCGACGGAGCCTACAGACCCGTGTGCGCCCACGACGGGCACACGCATGACAACGACTGCTGGCGCCAGCAGGCTGAGTGCCAGCAGCAGCGTGCCATCCCTGCCAAGCACCAAGGCCCGTGTGGTGAGCACTGGGGGCGCGGCCCGTGCCCGCAGCAGGCTGGTCCCACGCTGGTCCCTGCCGCCCGTCATCACACGCCATCTCCATCCCTAGTCATGCCCCCCTGGGGTCGCTCTGGGGAGGCCTGGCAGGGCTCCTGCCTGTCACTGGGCTCTGGGACGGTGGACCCTCACAAAAGGATGCCTGGAGCACCCAGGGGGACCTGAGAAAGAGACAGGGTTGCTTGTGCAGGCTCCCTGTGGCTCTCTGGGTCCCCTTAGAGGCTCAGTTGGGCTTTGAGGGGCCAGCAGAGGGTGGGGGCTGCGTGTCCTGCTCACCTCCAACTCTGTCAGTTGGTCTGTCCGTCTTTCTGGTCTCTGCGTCTGTCCCTTCTCTGCCTTTCCTTCCCTGTCGGCTCCGCCTCTTGTGTCTTCCAGCCTGACCTACTGGCAGGACGAGGCACCGCACCTGCCGCCAGGAGCCCGCAGCCCGAGGTCTGCCCCCAGCGCGGCAGGGGGGGTGGCTCGCTGCTGCCTGGCCTGTGGTCCTCAGAGCAAGTGGACAGACACCTCTTCCCCCACGTGGCCCTGGTGTGACTCTGGGTCACAGACTCTTCTTACCCACTGAGAGAGAGCCCCGCCCCGCGTACATACATGTCCCAGGGCTGCTGGTGTTCAGGGGTCAGTGGCCCGGGTGGGCTGGCTAAGCCTGGCCCTCGTACAACCCACTGTGGACGATCCCACCTCACACTCGCACAAGGGTCTGGGGCTGTCTGGGTCTGTTTCCCTGTCCACATCTGTCATGTGTCTGTCCCTTTCTCTGCTGTGTCCTGTGCATCTGGCCCTTCTCCTGGCCCAGTCTCCCTTCGCCACCCCCGCCCTGAGAGAGGTCTGCTGCGTGGAGCTTGGGGCTTAGTGCATCAGCCGAGGGGAGGTAGTCCCACTGAGTGCCATGTTCTCGCAGACCAGCCCCGGTCCCCGTGCCTTGGGGTGCAGTGCCCATCTGGGGCAGTGTGCACCGTGAAGAACGGCGAGGCCGAGTGTGCGTGCCGGCAGGCGTGTGCGGGCATCTACGACCCTGTGTGTGGCAGCGACGGCAGCACATACGGCAGCGCTTGCGAGCTGGAGGCCACAGCCTGTGCCCTCGGGCGGGAGATCCGGGTGGCTCGCCGAGGACCCTGTGGTCAGTGGTGGGCACACGGGTCTTCCTAGGGGCTGGGGGTGCCGACGCCGTGGTGATGGAGCCTCCTCCCCAGATCGCTGCGGGCAGTGCCGCTTTGGAGCCCTGTGCGAGGCTGAGACTGGGCGCTGTGTGTGCCCCTCTGAGTGCGTGGCCTCGGCCCAGCCCGTGTGCGGCTCTGACGGGCACACGTATGCCAGCGAGTGTGAGCTGCATGTCCATGCCTGCACACACCAGATCAGCCTGCATGTGACCGCCACTGGACCCTGCCGTGAGTGGGGCTGTAGGGGCCCGGAGGGCTGTGGCCCCGTGTGTCCCCCAGCTGGGTCCACTGACCCCGGCCTGGCTCCACCCTCTGTAGAGACCTGCGGAGACGTGGTATGTGCCTTCGGGGCATTGTGCCTGGCAGGGCAATGTGTCTGTCCCCGGTGTGAGCACCCCGTGCCTGGCCCCGTGTGTGGCACCGACGGCGTCACCTACCACAGCGCATGTGAGCTCCGTGAAGCCGCCTGCCAGCAGCAGACACAGATCGAGGAGGCCCGGGCAGGGCCCTGTGAGCAGGGTAGGCTCAGCTCGGGGGCAACTGGTATGGTCCTCTGGGCGCCAGCTTTGACCAGGACCCCCGGGTGAGCCAGCCCCCTTCCCACAGCCGAGTGCGGCTCAGGGGGCTCCGGCTCTGGCGAGGACAGCGAGTGTGAACAGGACCTGTGCCGGCAGCGTGGCGGCATCTGGGATGAGGACTCGGAGGATGGGCCGTGCGTCTGCGACTTCAGCTGCCAGGGTGTCCTAAGGAGCCCGGTGAGGCCCCCCACCCTCTTCCGGCTCTGAGCAGGCAGTGAGGAAGGGACCACGGCCACCCATGCTAACACCACCCCTCCAGGTCTGTGGCTCCGATGGCGTCACCTATGGCACGGAGTGTGAGCTGAGGAAGGCCCGGTGTGAAACGCAGGCAGCGCTGTATGTCGTGGCTCAGGGCACCTGCCCAGGTGAGTGGGCATGCAGGACGTGTCCAGGGCGCTTGCGGGCACATGTGTTCTTGTGCACGTTTGCAGCAGCCTGTGTTCCCTGTGTGTGCACAGCTGTGAGCCCGGTAGGTATACATCTTGTGCGCAGGTAATGGTGTACTGTGGTGGGTGTGTATGAACACATGTATTGTGTTGGAGTGTGCAGTGTTGGTACCTGTTTATACCTGTGTAGCTGCAGTGTGTGGACTTGCTTGTCACTATTAGTTAGCAAGTGCTCACTGTGCACCTGCTGTGTACCAGGCTGGGCTTCGTGCAGGGAGGCAGCAGTGAATCAGTGAGGCCCACGCTCTGGGCGCTTCCTCTATGGGGGAGACGGGACTGGTGGCAATCCAGTAAATGTCACGTGTAGTACACTTTCATGCATGCACAAGTGCCTGTGTGTGCGTGCTTATGCATGCAGGCACGTGTGTCTGCGCACGTGCGTGAATGTGTATACCGACGCGTCTTTGTGTGCATACATGCCAGTTTGCATAGACACGCTAATCTGAACATATGCGGCCCATGGCTGCATGGTGTACACAGAGCTGTGTGTCCATGAGCTTTGGCTGTTTTGCGTATTCCTGGTCCTACGTGTACAGACGTGTTCTTGTATGTGGTGTGGGATCTTCGCCTGTGACCCCAAGTCTCGGGCTCCAAGTGGGAGCTGGCATCAGGAAGATTGACAGCAATGGCCAGGGGAGGCTGAGGTGGAGTGGCTAGGCCCGAGGGTGGGTGTCTGGCACTGGATGGTGTCTGAGCCCCCCCGCCTCTCTGCAGGCCCCACCTTGGCCCCAGTGCCACCTGCAGTTGCCCTGCACTGTACCCAGACCCCCTACGGCTGCTGCCGAGATAACATCACTGCCGCCCAGGGTGTGGGCCTAGCTGGCTGTCCCAGTGAGTACCTGAGCCCGGCCTCACCCCACAGCCAGGCGGAGCCCTGCAGCTGCAGTGACCTTGTCCCGCCCTGGCTTTGTAGGCTTGTGCCAGTGCAACACACACGGCTCCTACAGCGGCATCTGTGACCCAGCCACAGGCCAGTGCTCCTGCCGCCCAGGTGTGGGAGGCCTCAAGTGCGACCGCTGTGAGCCCGGCTTCTGGAACTTCCGTGGCATTGTTACCGACGGCCGGAGCGGCTGCACCCGTGAGTGACAGGACCCGTGGGCGGTCGCCAGCTGAGCACCCTTGCCGGTCCCCCGTCTCTGTGCCCTTTCTCTCCCCTACTCAGGCCCTGGCCTGGCCCTCGCCTGGCAGGGGCTGGGCCGGGCTCTGAGGCCAGTGGGGAAACTGAGCACAGACCTCAAGTCCCCACCCCGTCTCCTCAGCCTGCAGCTGTGACCCCCGGGGTGCCGTGCGGGATGACTGTGAGCAGATGACCGGGCTCTGTTCCTGTAAGCCTGGGGTGGCTGGAGCCAAGTGCGGGCAGTGTTCGCACGGCCGTGCCCTGGGCCCTGCTGGCTGTGAGACAGGTGAGGGCCAGACCTGGTGCTGACGGGGCTCCCTGTGCTGGGGACAGGGTCTCACGGGGGCCAGGCCTGAGCCAGTGGGGTCTCCTGTGTCTGTGCCCCAGACTCCTCGGCACCCAAGACCTGTGCTGAGATGCGCTGTGAGTTTGGGGCCTCCTGCGTGGAGGAGGCTGGCTCTGCGTACTGCGTGTGCCCAATGCCCACCTGTCCCGGGGCCAATGCTACTAAGGTGAGCAGTGGGGCATGTGGAGGGTGGCGGGGTGGGAAGGGGGCTCCCCCAGCAGCCTTGCCCTGTTCCCCAGGTCTGCGGGTCGGATGGCATCACCTATGGTAACGAGTGTCAGCTGAGGACCATCGCCTGCCGCCAGGGCCTGGACATTTCCATTCAGAACCTTGGCCCGTGCCAGGGTGAGGCCCGCCCTGCCCCCAAACTGACCAGGAAGGCCTGACCCCACCCTGACTCAGCCCCCACCTGGACTCTCCTCTCCTCTCCTCGCAGAGGCTGTCGCTCCCGGTGCCCACCCGACACCCGTGTCTGTGGCCACCTCGGAGGGAGACCTGACCGAGGCACTGCTGCCCCCGCCCAGTGCCCTCCCACTGGCTCCCAGCAGTACCCCCCGCAGCCGGCCCACCCCTCGACCACAGCCTTGGACCACTGCCAGCATCCCCAGGACCACCAGGAGGCCTGAGCTGACCGTGCCCCCAACAGCGCCCCCCACGGCAGCCAGCCTCGCCACGTCGGCCTTCGGCGAGTCTGGCAGCGCCGATGGGGGCGACGAGGAGCTGAGTGGGGACCTGGAGGCCAGTGGGGCCGGCTCTGGGGGTAAGCATGGGCTCAGGGATGAGGGCAAGGCCCAGGAGGGTTGCACCGGGAGCCGGGCTCACACTGCACTCCCCCAGGACTCGAGGCCCCTGAGGGTGGTAGTGCTGTGACCCCTGGGCCACCTGTCGAGAGGGCTTCCTGCTACAACTCACCTTTGGGCTGCTGCTCAGACGGCAAGACACCCTCCCTGGATGCAGAGGGCTCTAACTGTCCTGGTGAGTGGGTGGCCAGGGGCTGGGGCAGAGCGCGAGGAGTGGCCTGGACGTGTCGGAGGACCTGTCTTTCCTCCCAGGAAGCAGGCCTGCCCGGCAGGTGGGCGCCCAGACTCAGTGGTGTCCCGAGTTCAGCACACACGTACGTGTGGTCTCGGGGATTTAGCACACGTGCGCACACGTGTGGGTGCCTAGGACCCTAACCTGTCTTTCCGGTTGCAAGCGGCCTGGGGCACCGCTCCATGGAGTCTGCCTGGTAACTGGTGCCAGCCCTGCCCCGGCTTCCCACTAACCTCATCAGCATCCAACTAACCACCACCTGCCTGCACCCACGGGGCTTGCTGCTGGGGCCTGTGCCCGGGGCCTGCCCAGAGGCCAGGCCGGTGCCAAGCAGGGCCTCACTGCCACCTCCCCCACAGCCACCAAGGCGTTCCAGGGTGTGCTGGAGCTCGAGGGGGTCGAGGGCCAGGAGCTGTTCTACACCCCCGAGATGGCCGACCCCAAGTCAGAGCTCTTTGGGGAGACGGCCAGGAGCATCGAGAGTGCAGTGAGTGCGGTGTGTCCCTGAGGGGTGTGGCCCCGCCCGCAGCCTTCCTCCCAGGACAGACCCTCACCAAGCCTCACCCACAGCTAGATGACCTCTTCCGGAACTCGGACGTTAAGAAAGACTTCTGGAGTGTCCGCCTGCGGGACTTGGGGCCTGGCAACTCGGTCCGGGCCATTGTGGATGTGCACTTTGACCCCAGTGAGCCCTCCGCCCGGGCCCTCGCAGGAGGCTGTGGGGGGGCGCTCCTTGGGGCTCCGCCGTGCTCAGTGTGCCCTCCCCCCCAGCCACAACCTTCAGGGCTTCCGACGTGGGCCGAGCCCTGCTCCGGCAGGTCCAGGTGTCCAGGCGCCGGTCACTGGGGGTGAGGCGGCCACTGCAGGAGCACATGCGCTTCATGGACTTCGGTGAGTGCCACAGCTTGCCTGTCCCTCCGCTGCTACGCCTGCCTTCCCTGTGCCCTGCTGCTAGGGACCCTGACAGTTGTTCTCTCCCCTCAGACTGGTTCCCTGCATTCTTCATGGGATCCACCACTGGAGCCACCCCTGCCGCAGCCACAACCCGAACCACCACTGTGGCCTCTTCTGCTGTGACCCCTCGGGCCCTCTACCCCGTCCACACAAGCCGGCCTGTCAGTAAGACCACAGGCCCCACCACAACACGCCGGCCCCCTGCCACTGTCCCCAGCCATGTGCCTGGACGCTGGCCCCTGCCCCCAGGCACCCAGGAGTCCCTGAGGCCCTGTGACTCCCAGCCCTGCCTCCACGGGGGGACCTGCCAGGACCAGGACTCAGGTGGAGCCTTCACCTGCAGCTGCCCAGCTGGCAGGGGGGGTGTCGTCTGTGAGAAGGGTAATGGTCATCCGTGCTGGACAGGGGCAGGGAGGCTGATGGGAGCAACGGTTTGGGGTGAGACCAAGGCACCTAAGGAGTGGGGCGCTAGACTGGGGGGCAGGTTGGGGTGAGGGGTAGGATGGATAACCTAGCCTCCTCCAGTTGGTCCCTGCCTGTCTGGCAGCCCTGCGCGCCTCGGTGCCGGCCTTCGGGGGCCGCTCCTTCCTGGCCTTCCCCACCCTCCGCGCCTACCACACGCTGCGCCTGGCGCTCGAGTTCCGCGCCCTGGAGCCGCAGGGGCTGCTGCTCTACAACGGCAACGCCAAGGGCAAGGACTTCCTGGCGCTGGCGCTGCTGGGCGGCCGCGTGCAGCTCAGGTGGGCGGGGCCGCGGGGCGGGGCCAGAGCCGCTGGGGCGGTGGGGGGGCGGGGCTGAGCAGTGGGCCCTTGGGCTGTCCTGAGTGCCTGTTCCTGCCCGGCCGCCTAGGTTCGACACAGGTTCCGGGCCCGCGGTGCTGACCAGCGCAGTGCCGGTGGAGCCAGGCCGGTGGCATCGCCTAGAACTGTCTCGGCACTGGCGCCGGGGTTCGCTGTCAGTGGACGGCGAGACCCCTGTCCTGGGCCAGAGCCCCAGTGGCACTGACGGCCTCAACCTGGACACAGACCTCTTTGTCGGGGGCGTCCCAGAGGACCAGGCTTCTGTGTGAGGATCAGGGAGCCTTGGGGTGGCCCTAACCCCTGACCTAACCCTTGACCTTGGTCCCGATCTCTGATTCTTATGGGCTGTATCCTGGATGCTCAAGCTACCCGTGAATGGCAAAGGGGGTGGACGGATGGTGTGGACAATGGCTGTGACCCTGACTTCAATCCTAACCCTTGGCCCTGGTCCTGATTCTGTGCCATCTGTGGGTGGCATCCCCGAGGACCAGGCTGCTGCGTGATCACCAGAGGGGCTGGACCCACCTTTAGTCCCGACCCTTGATCCGCAGCCCACCTCCTCAGTCTGCCCTACTTTGCAGACTGGTCGTTTGTAAGCACCACAGGGGGGATGGGGAGTGGCCCAGATCCCTCCCCTGGCCCATCGGCAGTGCCAGCGTCAGGGCTGGCTGTGAGAGAAGGTGCCTCTGGCCTCTGGCCTCTGACCCCTGACCTCATCCTGGCGGCAGGGTGCTGGAGCGGACCTCTGTCAGTGTCGGCCTCAAGGGCTGCATCCGCCTGCTGGACGTCAACAACCAGCGGTTGGAACTCGGCAGCTGGCAGGGGGCCGTGACCCGAAATGCCGGTGTGGGCGAGTGCGGGGCCCACCCCTGCCGGCCCAGCCCGTGCCTCGGCGGGGCTCCGTGCCAGGCCCTGGAGGCCGGCGCATTCCACTGTCAGTGTCCACCTGGCCGCTTCGGTGAGCGCGGGGCTGGGCCGGGTGCTGGGGGGCACCTGTGTGTCTGTGGCCAGGGGCTCAGCCCTCTGGAACCCCGTCCTTTCTCCCTCCAGGCCCCACCTGTGCTAATGAGAAGAATCCCTGTCAACCGAACCCCTGCCACGGGGCGGCCCCCTGCCGCGTCCTGCCTGGGGGCGAGGCCAAGTGCGAGTGCCCCCCGGGACAGGGGGGCCCTCTCTGCCAAACAGGTGGGGGCAAGCATGCGGGTACGGATTCTGCTTGGGGTTCTGGTTGGGCTCAGAGCAGTGGGCGTGCAGGGGACCCTGGGGTCGGGGCCTGGAGCCTAGTGTGTCCCCTCTCGTCCTCCACAGCCTCAGAACAGAACGGTCACCAGCCCCTCCTGGCTGACTTCAGCGGCTCCTCCTTCCTGGAGCTGAAAGGCCTGCATACTTTCGAGCGGGACCTGGGGTCAGTGGGACAGAAAGAGGGAGAGGGGCAGCAGCCCCCCCGGCCTCCATCCAGACGCCACCACCTGACGGGTCCTTTGCGACTGACCCCAGGGAGAAGATGGCGCTGGAGGTGGTGTTCCTGGCCCGGGGCCCCAGTGGCCTGCTCCTCTACAACGGGCAGAAGACGGACGGCCGGGGGGACTTCGTGTCGCTGGCACTGCGGGACCGCCACCTGGAGTTCCGTTACGACCTGGGCAAGGGGGCAGCCGTTCTCAGGTGTGCATGTGTGGGTGGGGCGTGTGGGCAGCTGGGCCTTGGGGTGGGTACCGGGCTGGGGACATGCAGGCGGGCAGGCCGTAGAGCTCATGGTGCCCTGTCCTCACCAGGAGCAAGGAGCCAGTGGCCCTGGGCACCTGGACCAGGGTCTCACTGGAGCGGAATGGCCGCAAGGGTGCCATGCGAGTTGGAGACGGGCCGCGTGTGCTGGGGGAGTCCCCGGTGAGTGTCCAGCTGTGGGTCCCCCCGCTCCTCCTCCTGGGAGGCGTGGCAGCCCCACCCCACGCCTGCGCTCACTCAGCTGTTTTCTCTGCCGTCGGTGAGAGAAAACCTGTGCCTCTGTCTGTCTGTCCGTCTGTCTCCTCTCTGCCCCACTGCTCTCTGGCCTTGCTCTGCAACCCCCACCCCGTTCTTCGGATGTCAGAAATCCCGAAAGGTACCGGTGTCCCCACTCGTCCTGCTCATCCGTCTTCTGCCACCTCCGTCCCTAGAGTAGCCGCCCCCACTAAGCCCACGTCACCCGTCACCTGTCTGTGTGATTAACTCTCCTAGGCCGGGTAGCGGGCGGGCCCCTGGGCCGGGCGCAGCGTCCTGTCCCTGCCCCGTGGGCCGGCCCCACAACCCCTCACCCAGCACCACCCCCCAGGTGCCGCACACCGTCCTCAACCTGAAGGAGCCACTCTACGTCGGGGGGGCTCCTGACTTCAGTAGGCTGGCCCGGGCCGCCGCCGTGTCCTCCGGCTTCGATGGTGCCATCCAGCTGGTACGTGGGGCAGGGATGGGGCCGTCGTGGTCGGGAGGGCAGCAGGCGGGACAGCGGCTCTTGTTCCCCCACCCCCCAGGTCTCCCTCAAAGGCCACCAGCTGCTGACGCAGGAGTACGTGGTGCGGGCGGTGGACGTCTCGTCCTTTGCAGACCACCCTTGCACCCAGGCCTCAGGCCACCCTTGCCTCAATGGGGCCTCCTGTGTCCCGCGGGAGGGCTCCTACGAGTGCCTGTGCCCCGGGGGCTTCTCAGGGCTGCACTGTGAGAAGGGTGAGCAGAACGGGCGCAGGGCAGCGGCGGGCGGGGTCGGCCCACTCAGGCCGGCCCTCACCCTGACCGTCTTTCAGGGCTGATCGAGAAGTCGGCAGGGGACCTAGACGCACTGGCCTTTGACGGGCGGACCTACATCGAGTACCTCAACGCCGTGACCGAGAGGTAACGTGCCGCACAGGAGCCGGGCGCCCCCTGCCCTCCGCTGTCCCTCAGGTCCAGTCTGCCCACCGTGCAGGACGAGGTGCCAGACTCACCGCGTCCGCCGCTGGCTGGGTGGCTGTGTTGGGCGGGCCCAGCACCCCCCCAGCTCCGCCCCCGCCCCCCCGCTGCCCTCCTGCACCCTCCTTCCTTCTCACTGTCTCTGTCTCTTTGTTTCCAAGCGAACTGACCAATGAGATCCCAGCGTAAGTAGCTCCTCGGCCTAGCCCCATCGCTGTCCACACGTCCCTCCTCTGCTCCTCCCCCGTGAGGCCCAGGCAGCACCTCCATCCTGGAGGAGGGCGAGGCAGGGGGCTGTTTGTGCTTCGCGAGGCTCCATTTCCCAGCTTGAAAGTGGATGTGACCCCCTTTTCAGGACATGTATTGACGGCCAGTCACCCATGCCCCCCCGAAGCCAGCCCTCACCACAGGCGCGGTGTGCACACGTGTGTGCGTGTGCACTTGCATGCATGTGTGTTGAGACATCAAGGGCCTGTCCTGGCAAGCAGCCCTCAGTCTCTGGGACTCCGCGTGGCCTGGGCTCTGCCCACTGGCTGTCTGTCCATGCGTGTGGCACTTGTGTGTTGCCAGGGCTCCGTGGTGGGAGGGGCCGAGGGCCTGGGGTCCCGTGTGTCTTACAAGGACACTCGCTTCTCCTGCCTCCCACCAGTGGGGAGGGGATGTGGAGAGTGTCACCGAGGGTCCCTCCCCACCCTGCACTGCAGCCTGTCTGTCCCCTTGCTCACCTGCCTCCCTCTCTTCCTGCTTCTAAGCCCCGAAGCTCCGGATTCCGGGGCCCTTCCTAGGTAAGCACGCAGCGCTCCAGCCCTGCTGTCGGCCCGCCGTCCTCCCCTCCCATCTGCCGAGCTGTCCCTCTGTCCACCTCACTCTACTGGTGTGTCTGACTCCACTTCCCACCGTCTGTCTCTTGGCCATCTGTCCTACCGTTGGTGCCTGCCACCTACCCCTCCAGCCACCCTGTGGCCTCTACAGCCATGGCCCTTGCCCTCCTGCCCTGCCCACCCTGCCCCCACCGCCCCCCGGGCGGCCCTGACCAGCCCTCTGCCCACCAGCGAGAAGGCGCTGCAGAATGACCACTTCGAGCTGAGCCTGCGCACCGAGGCCACGCAGGGGCTGGTGCTGTGGAGTGGCAAGGCCACAGAGCGGGCTGACTACGTCGCGCTGGCCATCGTGGATGGGCGCCTGCAGCTGACCTATGACCTGGGCTCCCAGCCTGTGGTGCTGCGCTCCACAGTGCCGGTCAACACCAACCGCTGGCTGCGGGTCAGGGCGCACAGGTCAGCGGGGCCCAGGCACTCCAAGAATAGCATGGGAGGTGCCTGGACTTGCCCGATCAGGGCGTGTGGGGTCACTGCAGACTAGGGCGGGCCAGCTGCCCGGCCCGAGGTCACAGCCAGTAAAGGGGGGAGGGAGGGACAAGAGGACGCAGCAGTTATGGCCAGGGAACCCCTGATCCAAAAAGGAAGTCCTTGCTCACCCACTGGTTGGGGATATGTCCCTCTGGTCTGAGCCTGGCTGTCCCCTCCAGCAAAGCTTGACCCACGTGACGCCCCCCTGCCCTGGCCACCAACTACTGTTCCAGGGGTCGGTGCCACCTCCTTCTGGCTCCCAGGGGTGACACTTGGTGGGGGTCTTGGGGCTCAGGCCCTAGAGCCACCTGATAGCCTCATCCCCACTCCCTAGGGAACAGAGAGAAGGCTCCCTTCAGGTGGGCAATGAGGCCCCCGTGACTGGCTCCTCCCCATTGGGCGCCACGCAGCTGGACACAGACGGAGCCCTTTGGCTGGGTGAGTGTTCTGTAGGGAAGCCGGGGGAGGGTCTCGGAATCCCTGCGGGACAGACCCCATTCTCTAGGGCCGGCTACTGAGAGTGGCACCCGAAACAGCCCCACCTGGGACAGCAGACGGGTCAGCCAGGGTTAGGCTCCTGTCCCCTCCTGTCTTGGCCCTGCAGTTCCCAGGGTGGCTAGGGCACGCCTGCTAGCCACCTGGTCCCCCCCGGGCACCGACAGGCTCTAGGCGTAACTCACCTTGTCACTCAGGTGCTGGTGGGTTTCTCTGCCCACCAGTGTTCTAGCCTCCCCATCACTGAGCCACAGCCGAGGGCCTTCCCTGTGTTTGTCCTGCAGGAGGCCTGGAGAAGCTGCCCGTGGGTCAGGCCCTGCCCAAGGCCTACGGCACGGGCTTCGTGGGCTGCCTGCGGGACGTGGTGGTGGGGCAGCGCCCACTGCACCTGCTGGAGGACGCGGTTGCCAGGCCAGCGCTGCGGCCCTGCCCCACCCCGTGAGGCGGCCTCCGCCCCCGCCCGCCCTGCTGTAATTATTTTCTATTTTTGTAAACTCGTTACTTTTTTGATATGATTTTCTTGCCTGTGTTTTGGCCGGAGGGACTCCTGGCTCGGCCTGCCTTCTGTCCAGACAGGCGAGCTGCAGAGACAGACTCAGTGCCGAGCGACTCACGGGCGCAACGCGGCAGCACAGAGGCCTTGGCTCACATGGCAACCTCAGGACACCGCCTCCACCGCGGGCCGCCCTGTCCCAGGCCCTCGTGCTGTGCTTCCCCTTGTGTCCACCTGCACTGGGCTGTTGTGGTCCGCGGCCTGTCGGCAGACCCCCCAACACACATGTCACCCATGCTCCATCTGGCAAGATCTGTGTCCCCAGAGCAGGAAGCCACTGCTGGGGTTGAAGGGGACCTTCCTAGACTCACACTGAGCCAGTCCTCATCCTGTGAGTGGTTCAGCCTCACCAGGACTAGCCTCGAGCCTGGCTGGCCCTGCCTGGGCCTCCTGTGCCAGTTCTGTGACTGAGAAATGACGTTATCACTGGGTCCACACGGCACCCCTCCCAGCTGTGTCCGCCAGTCGCAGGGTGCTGGAGAGCAGAGGCCAGGCCCAGCTTCGTTCCAGGGGCCCTGCCCCTCAGCTGGCCCTGCCCAGCCACCCAGCCATCTTGGACATGTCTGTGTCCCCTCCCCGACACCTCAGGCTCTGTGTGCTGTGGTCGACGTCCATTGCCTGCGTGCCTGAGCAGCCAGCGTCTCCCTTGAGGACAGATGTCCAGGCAGGCCTGAGCACCGACCACAGAGTTCTTCCCGCCTTGGTTTCATTCGACATCGGGGGCAGTGGGGCTGTCATCTTTCCTGTCCTGGCTTAAGAGTAGCTGAGGACACGCACAGCAAATCCTCAGTTCTGGTGTGAGCAGCGGTTGCCCTTGTCCCAGCATGACCAGGGGCAGGCCTGGTGTCTGACCATGGCCATGGGTCGGCCGTAGGGATGGCAGAGACGGCTGCGAAGCCAGAAATGCCTTAAACTGCAGCATGGCGTCCCATCCCAACTCTGGTGCTGGTGGGGGTGGTAGTCCAGTCCAATCCCCACAGTAGGGGCTGGGCTGGCTGCAGGGAGGGAGCCCCATACATCATGTTACTAACTCCAGTCTCTCTGTGTCAGTCACCGTGAAATAAAGTCTGAACACGTCAAAGGCGCTTGTGTCTGTCCAGCCAGCCCCACCTGTCTGGCTTCTCTCTTGTGGCTTCTAGTTCAGCTTCATGGTAGCATAGGCTTTAAGCTCTCTTAGATGGCTCTGGGTGGAAGAGGGGACCCTGCACTGGAGTGGAGGGCTGTTTTTGAGAAGGAGACCCTGTGCAGTGAGTGTGCCCACTTGTGCATGGAGCTGGTGGGGGCAGGGCCTGTGGAGGCAGCACTGTAGGGGGCCGCCAGTGCCCTGTGTGCACGTGCATGCGTGCTTCTGCACACGTGTCAGCCTATGGATGTGTGTATGAGCCCTGGGTGGGAGAGGGTCGTCTGAGGAGAGTGGGCTTGGGGCACTGAGGTTAGTGTGGGGGTGGTAGGCAGCCCTTTCATGGTCAGGTTGGCCCACCGCCGGCCCTGCTGGGAGAACCCTCAGCAGAAGCTCTGAGGGCTCAGGCTTGTGAAGCAGCTGTGAGCCTCTACCCAGGAGCAAGGAAGGAGAGTGGGTGTGTGGCCTCCTCCCTAGAACTCCAGACTTTTATTAAATATAACTGTTCTTTTTTATTTTCTGTTGAAAAAAAAAATGAAATTAAATGCAAACGCCCATAAGCTCAGCACCCAGGTGACCCATAGCCAGTGGCATTCGCATTCCCATCCCTTAGTCATCGACTTGCTTGTTCAGGAGACAGTGTGAGTGTGGCCTGCCTGGCTGCTGTGTGCTGGGCAGCTGTTAGGTGTTGGGGGTCCAGGAGAAGAGAGACCCTAAATCCCCAGGGGCTGGGGCTGAGGAGTGTGGTAAGCAGGCGACGGGCACAGAGGATGGGCATGACTAGCTGGGGGATCCAGGAAAGGGAGGCAAAAAGCTGCCACCCCAGTGCAGACCTGCAGGACCTGCCAAGGGCTGGAAGAGGCTGTGCAGGCTGCGGCTGGGCAGGGGTCACGCAGAAGAAGGCGCAGCTGGTCGCCTGGGTGCGGGGTGAGTGGGCCATCAGCCAGGGTGGTGGGAGCAGGTGGACCCCACAGGGCCTGGCAGTCCTGGGAAAAGGCTGCAAGAAGGGCCTGGAGGGGCTGAAACAGCAGTTGGTCAGACTCAAGGGCACGGTGCTTGCTGTGGGACAGGGTGCTGTGGCTCAGGACGAGCAAAGGAAGAAATTCAGGGCAGAACGGGTGGGCTGGTGCTGAGCTGACGTGGGGCAAGGGACTCACTGATGGACATGGGGGGCTGAACAACCCTGATGCATGTGGAGAGCTGGGCTTGAGGCTCTGAGAGCCCCTGAGTGGACGTCAGGGGGGCAGAGGGCCACTTAGGCAGAAGGGAGGCTGGCCTGAGGCTGGCATGACACAGGAGGGTGTAGGGGGCTCCCCACCTTCCGTTTAGACCAGGGAGCGGGGCCCCACGCTGGGAGGTGGTCCAGGCGAAGGCAAGGCAGCAAAGCTGAGAAGCCCAGGGAAGTGCTCTGGGAGCCGGTGCTTCCGGGAGGAGGGAGCTGTCGGTGCAGGACCTCGGGTGGTCAGCAGCGGTGGGTGGGGATTTGGGATCCGGGGTTTGGGGAGCAGCCCACAAAGCGCCACTCCTGAAAAACCAGAGGGGGCTGGGCGGGTGGGGCCCGGAAGTTCCTGGCTCCTAACGGGGATCTCAAGGTTGAGAACCCAGGTGAGGAAGGGCGTGGCCCCTAGGGACAGGCTCTTGGAAGGTGGTTTGGCCAATGGGGACAAGGGGGCAGAAGTGAGCGCGGGCGAGCCGGCCGGCAGCGGGGACCGCGGCAGCTGTGACAGGAGCGGGTGCCCTGGCGTCGGAAGGGAGTGCACGTCACTTAGGAAGTGGGGAGGCCCCCATGTGGGAGGGCTGAGACGGAAAGCCTGGTTATCACGTGGGCTCCTCCCACCTGCGCCCCTCCAGGGTCTCCCGGGACGCCCTTCGCCCCCATTTTGGAAGTGGTGCCCGGAAAAGCCTGGAAGCTCCTGGAGGGAGTCGCCGGGGTGAACAGAACCTGGCCCAACCGAACCGTTATTGATACAGCGGAGGCGGCCGAGGGCCGGGGGGGCGCTCGGACCTGAAGCCGCCCCGCGCCTTCGCCCTCCGAGACCAGAAGCCCGTGTGAACCCGTGGGTCTGAAGCTCGGGGCCTTTGAAAACCTGCTTTTATCTCAACTTCCCCAACAGAACAGCGAGACGAGTGTGCGCGGCGCCTTTAAGGAAGCCCCGGGGGCGGGGCCTCGCAGTGGGCGGGGCCTCCGGGGCGGGGCTTTGGGGTGGGCGGGGCGTCCTCGGAGAGGCCCGAGGGCGCGGCCGCCTGGACCCCGCCGAGCGCCCGGCGTGGAGCAGACATGACCTCGCGCAGGTGAGCCTGGGCTGCCCCTTGGCCCGACGCCGCGATCCCAGGAGATGCGCTTGGGGGGCGCAGGCGAGATGCGACCCGGGACGTCTTGCAGTCGCCCCTAGGCCAGGTCGCCCCTAGGCCTGACGTCCCGACACCCACTCCCGTCCACAGCCAGGACCAGATACTTGGGTGCGCCCCAGGCCAGCCTCAGTAAAGCTTGTGGAAAGGACTCTTTCCGCCAGGGGTTGGACGGGGGCGGAGGTCAGAGGTGCCTTGACCCTAGGGAATAGAGATGCCGTGCAGGTGGTGAGTGGGTGTCTGGAGCCGGAATGTGCAGCAGGTGTTCAGACAGTGGGAGACCCTCCCTCTGTTCTGCCTCCGGACCCCTTGCCCTGATGAAGTCTCCCTTTTGGCCACCTGAGATGACTTCTGCCTAGAGGTACACCTTCCCTTCCCTAGGCCCAAAACTGAGGGCAGAAGCACTAGGAGGTCTCAGAGGGTCTCGTAGCCCCCTCTAGATCTGGGCCCTGGACCCTGCCTCCCTGCAAGGACCAGCTCTCCTGCAGCAGGCTCATGTCCCTTCCAGACCCCTGAAGGGTCAGTTTTAGGGGGCAGTCTCCCACGCAGGGACATGGCGACAGCCACACAGGCCTGGGTCCCCTGCTTCCTGCTCTTTCTGCCAGATCCCTGTTCCCTGGGTTTATGCGCACACTCGTGTGTGAACTCACACTGCAGTGTGCATGTGCGTGTCAGTGGGAGCTGCACAAGTGTAAGACACATGTCACCTTTTCCTGGCACTTGGCGCTTGGTGAGGGCAGAGGTCACAGGAAGCGTTGCCCTATGACCCCGAGTGATCCCCTGGATCTGTGAGGGGCTGGACAAGGCTCACAGGGCTTCACTCTGCCTGAGCAAGGTCCTTAGCCCGAGGCAGAGACCCTGCCGCCTATCAGCAGTGCCTCCGTGGAGAGGGTCCCAGCACCCCGAAGAGGGGTGTTGGGAGAAGGCTGCCTGGCACAGTGGCCTCTGGCAGGGCTGTGGGCCCTCTTGGGCTCAGGAAGTGAGAGGGGTCTCTACGGACCTGTCAGCCCTGTGACTCCGAGGTTCAACGTCCAAGCAGGACTTCAGAGGAGTGGGTTTCGGGGTCTGGTTGGAATGACCCCTCAGGCTCCTGTCAGCCTCACTCCTATTTGCACCCGGGTAGGTTCTGGTGCTCAGAGAAGGCCATGTCCATGTCACGTGCGTGTGACCCTGGGTCAGCCTGGGAAAGCCCCGGGCGCGGCTCTGCCTGGCCTCGCCAGCCCCTCCCCACCCCGCCCTGTGATGGCCATCCGGACTGTCAGTCCTCTGGCCCCTGGGCCCCTGCCCACACCCCTATCAGGCCTGGGCAGGCCAGACCGAATCTCAAGTGAAGCCCATCCCCCCATGCCTGCCCCCGCCCCATGTCCCCTTCCCGAGGCCCTGTGGTTTGTGGGTCAACGGGCACCACCACCAGCAGCACGCCCCAGGGCTCCCGGCGCTGTGGTTTGACTCGGCCTTGCTCTGGGTGCCTGGAAGAGGGCCGGGTCCGTGAGGGCGCTGCTGAGCCCCTCCTCAGGACCCCCTTCGTTCCGGGAGCTGGAGAGGGCAGCACGGGTCTAGGTTATTTGGATCTGTACGGACAGGACAGGACTTGGCTGAGGCTCCTCTGGGAACGTGGGGGGTGGGGCAGGGCCTGGGTGGAGGGCTCAGGGAAGAGAGATGAGGGGGACACTGCCTGTACTCTTGGGTCCTCAGCCCTGGAATTTCAACCTAGGATCCTTGCCCACTGCCCACGTGTCTCCTACCCTCATAGAAGTGTCTGCCCTGCAGGCGTGTCCAGCCCCTGTATCATATGTGTAGGCATGTTGACAGGCCATGCATGTGTCTCCCAAGGTCCCAGGGTTGGGGCTGTGCCATCTGCAGATTGGACACCAAGGCCATGCAGGGAGCTGGACAAGCCAGTGGCCAGTTTGGGTTCTGGCTGATCTTTTGGGTGACTTGTGCCGTCCTGGATCCCTGAGCACTGACTGGGCAACTGGGCCATGAGGGGCCCAGGGTGGCAGTCCTGTTGGGGGCCCAGTATGTCCCCCCACAACCCTCCCAGGCCTGCCTGGCCACGTCACTATGTGGTAAGTCAATGACCCATCACGGAGCAGGGAGCCCTTCGACACAGGTGACCCTGGGCCCTGGCACAGAGGGCTTCTGGGGATTGGAGACTGACTGTAACCTTCCTACCTCCTCACCCTCGCCCCCCGCCCCCCAGCCAGGGGCTGCGCCTCCAGCCTGGTGGGGGTAGCAAGGGCCCCACCTTGGCCTGAGATGGCGGGAGGGCGGGGGCGTGAGCTGTTGCAACCTCTCAGGATGCCCTGCCCTGGAGATTTCCACCCGATAGGCCCAGTGGCAGCTTGTGGGGAGGAGAGGGGGGTGGAAAGTATGATCGAGAGTCTCCGAAAGGACAAACAAGGTGCCCTTCACCCATCTCTGTGGCTTTGATGCTGGGCCTCCACCCTGCACTCTGCGCCTGTACTCAGGGCATTGTCCACCTTGGCCTGGAGTCTGAGGCTGCGGGACGAGGGGAGGGGGTGTCTTGGCACAGGATGTGGTTCCACAAAGTGGGTGCCCGGGGGGTCGGAAGCCTCCTTCTGGGTTCCAGTCCCCACCTCTGCCACCTGCCTGTGCGGGTCCTGTCGGCATCCTTTTCCTGGTGGCCTTGCCTGCTTTGCTGTGACCGGCTCTGGAGGTCACTATGTGGCAGCTCCTCCTCCAGGAAGGCTCCCCTAGCAGACCCACCTGCTGGACCACTGGACCAAAAGTGCCCCCAGGTCTGGCTCCCATATGAGCCATTGTGGGAGGGAGCTCAGGATGGCCTGGCGAGGTGTGCCCCTCCCCCAGGGAGAGCGTGGACAGGGGTGCTGCTCTCACTGGGCGAACCTGGCCGGGTAATCTGGGCTTGGCCTTTCTGACCTGACATGTGGACCCTGGGGAGCTGTTGAGGTCAGAACAAAGCCTGTCGCCATGGGCACTTACATTAAGTAGTGAAGACGCAGGGTGACGAATACCAAGTGCGTATGTACCCGCCTGCTGTCGACAGGTGCCCCATGGAGAAGGCAGGGCAGCGGTGGCGCTGTGGCGCTGGCCGGGGTGGGCCGCTCGGGAAATGCGAGCCGTGCCCCACGGCGGGTGGAGGCGGCGGACAAGGTCAGCCAGCAGACATGGAGAACGGGAGTTTCCAGCATGAGCCAGCCCCCTGGTGCTGGGCGGGGCCTAGGGTCTCCCGTGGGAGCTGCAGAGGACCACTGGCCAGCTCTGGGGGGCATTTCCTGAGAATCCCTCTGTCCCTGGCTGTAGGGTTCCGGGTGGGGCCCAGAGACCTGGAGTCAGTAGTGCAGGCGAGAGCTGGTGGGCGCTGGAGCCAGGGTGGTGGGGGCGCGGCCAGTCCTGGGCAGGTTTGGAAGTTAGGACAAGGGGTGCTGATGCACAGGATAAGGGTGCAGGAGGAGAGAGCCGAGGGCTATGGGGCAGCCACCTCAGCCGTGGCCGAGTGAGGGGACCTAGGTCGGGGCTTGGGGTGTCACCAGGAGCTTTGAATTCTGCAGATGTTAAGATGGAGATGCTGTTACCTTCCCAACGGATGCTGACAAGAGCCGTGTTTATGAGTCTGAAGCTTGGAGCCCAAAAGCGGGGCTGGAGGTGTAGACAGACGGCGCATGGATATGTAGACAGCACATGGACATGCAGACATTGTGGGCACAGGCAGGGTCTCTGACACCAAGGGGTCAGGAGGAGGAGGTTGAGGGCCCAGCAGAGGACCTGGGCCAGGTGGGGTGGAAAACTGGGCAGGGTAAGGACCTGCCCAGAACAGCCGAGTGGGGATGTGCTTCTAGAAGGAGGTGTGGGTGACTGAGTCGGCAGCTGCTGGGGACAGGCCGGACCAAGATCCTGAAAGCTGAGGTGTTGGTGGGGCTGGAAGGCTGAGGACAGGTCTGTGAGCACCAGCCTGGATGGCAGTGTGGACCTGCGCGTGCACATCCCCCATGCTATACACTGCGGGGACAGACCAACGGCTGGGGCTGCTCAGAGGGTCAGGGCGGGGCTGCAGGCGGGCGGCCTGAGGGACAGCAGCAGGAGGGCCAGGAGGAAGAAGGGTCTGGGCGAATTTAAACAAGAGATGTGAGCTAACCCCCATTCTAGAAACATCCGTATGGGGGCAGGGTTGACCTTGCTCCCATCTCTTGAGTGGCTGTGCAGTGGCGTCCAGCCAGGACCTGGGTATGCGTGTGAACTAGGTGGGCGTGGGGCTGCAAGGCAGCATGCTCGAAGTTGGCGACCCTGGTTTCTTACCAGAGGCAGGACCCCGAGCCCCCCCAACACTGTGTGTCATCTGTGCAGTGAACAGGGACACCCTGGAACCAGATGAGATCCCGCAGAGACAGTGTTAGGGATGGTAGACCAGGTACAAGGCACAGCGTCACCACTGGGGGGTCACCAGGGCACAGAGCCGGTGCGGGGTTTCAGTCCTTCCTCTGTTCGCTCCTTCATCTGTCGATCAGCCATTAGGCTTCTTGCCGACACTCTGGGGCTGCCACATGAGGGTGAGTCCATGCTGGGTCCGGAAGTCCCTGTCTTGGTGGCAGGACACACTGGGGTAAAGCAGTTGTGGCTTCAGACACGGGGTTCTATGCAGCCTTGCCGAGGCCCTCCCTGGCTGTCCCTCTGGATGCTGGGGGCTGTCCCCTTCCCTTAGGGGAGGCCTGCAAGGAGCTGTCGGAGGGGGGCAGGGCTGGCCCCTCTTAGCCTGCCCTACGGTCAGCAGCTCTGCTCCTGCCAGCCGCCCTGGGTCTGCCTCCCGGTGCAGCCCACTGTCCACGCACCCACTGGCACGTGCACCCGCCCGCCACTGCTCGACTCAGGAACACGTCCACCCCCAGGCACTGTTTGGGCTAAACACAGCCCTGCACAGGACAGTTGCAGCTGCAGAGTGAAATTCTCGGGTGGGAGCCAGACAACAACAAATGTACACGTCACGGAGCTGACACATGCCACGAGGGACAAGCAGCAGAGTAGGGGATAAAGGGCGAGGGGCAGCGGGGGCCACCAGCTTGCAGGTGTGGCCAGGCAGCAGGGAACAGCTGGTGCGAAGGCCCTCGGTGCATGGTGGGGGGCTCGGTGAGGAGCTGGGTGCAGGGAAGTGGGGGAGAGGGCAGTAGGGGGGAGGTGGGTTGGGGTGGGGCTTACTGAGGGGTGGCTGCGATGTGCTGGGGCCCCTCAGGCCCATGGGAAGTGGCAGCCCAGGATGTGGGGGTGGAGCCAACAGGTCTGCTGCTGGGGTGTGGGGAGAGCCCTGGGGGGACCAGGCACAGAACGTTTGAGGGTCCTGAGGGTGGCCATGTGGGGGCACTGGAGGCACTCTGCTCACCTGTTTCCGGGACCCCACGAGCCTCAGACCCTGCGGTCAGTGGCCGCAGGAGGTATGAGCTCGGGAGACCACACAGCCATGAAGGTGTTTGCTGCTAAACCGATGCCGGGGATTGGGTGTGGGTCCAGACTGGGGCTTACACAGCCAGTGTCCCCATACTCCCTGGAGTGGCTGACTCACTGCCCCCATTCCAGGTGGTTTCACCCCAACATCGGTGGAGTTGAGGCAGAGAAGCTGCTCCTGTCCAGAGGCCAGCACGGGAGCTTCCTGGTGAGACCCAGTGCCAGCTGCCCAGGGGGCTTCACACTGTCTGTCAGGTAGGTGGAGGTGGGCCTCGGGTCAGCTGGGGGTGCAGGTGGGGATTTGGGTCCCCAGTCCTCCTGAGGGGTGGTAGGCAGCATCCTGGGTGGCAAAGACCCCTGGTGGGGGCTGAACTCAAGAGCCTAAGCTCTGTGGGGTGAGGAGCCGGCTAGTGGCCCCTGGGCAGGACAGAATCATGTGGAAAGGCCCTCAGGGAGAGCTCAGGAAGGGGAGTCCTCGGCAGACCCCCACCCTCTGAGGGGGGCAGGAGCCTCAAGGGCTGTGACTGCTCCCATCTTCGTCTGGCTGGAGCCCATGAAAAGGCCATTGTGGGGGAGGAGGGGTGGGAGGTGTGGCAGGAGGCGGGGCAGCCTGTGGCCAGGAGAGCCGGGTCCACCTAGGTGGTGAAGGGTCAGTCGGTGAGGAGGCGGTGGTCCGGGGAGGGGGCTTCTAAAGGGCTCTGGGTTCCTGATTCTCTACTAAATGAAAGAGCAGGGGAACTGGGTGGCCCTCGCTCTGGACTTTCCTCACCTCGGGGAGACACGTTCTTCCCCGGGGCTCCCCAAGTCCCATGGGAAGCTGTCATGGGGGCCCATCCTCAGTCATCTGGAGGAGGGCTGCCCAGCCTGGGCTGCACAGAGGCCTGGCCTTGGCCTGGGCTGTTCTTGGCAGAGGCCGACACCCCAGGGCAGAAACGCCGGGGACTGTTTTGGAAGGGAGAGTGGTGACAGTGTGAGCAGCCCCCCATGGCGGCTGGCGCACCCGCCCTTCCAGGCGCCAAGATGAGGTGACCCACATCAAGATACAGAACACGGGCGACTATTACGATCTGTACGGCGGGGAGAAGTTTGCAACGCTGGCGGAGCTGGTGCAGCACTACACCGGCCAGCGCGCGGGGCCCCTCCGAGAACGCAGCGGGGCTCCCGTGGAGCTTCGGCACCCGCTGGGCTGTCAGGACCCCACGTCAGAGCGGTGAGCACCGACATCCGTGCTCGAGGGGGGAGGGTCTGCCGGGCAAGGCCGCGTGTCGCCCCCCGCGCCGGGGTTCTGGGCTTCATTTCCTCTAGGTCCCGCCCCGGGGCAGGGGTGCGTGTGCGGCAGGAGCCCCAGCACCAGCCGCACCCTGCTCTCCTGGCTGGCGATGCGGGCGAGCTCGTCCCTCCTGCCGCCTTCTGCACTGCTGGGGCCTGAGGGAGCAGCGCCTGCCAGGGGCGGGCTGGGGCTGGTCTGGGGAGGAGCCCTTCCCTGCTGGCTGAGGACCAGGCTGCCGCCTGGTGGCCACCCGGGGCCCTGCAGAGCCCTCCCGTGCTGCCTCCTGCCGGCTCTTCTGGGTCGGTGAGGGTCAGAGAGGTGGGCGAGCTGCTGCCTGGGTCACTGAGGTCTGGGTGGGTACGTTCGCCTCTGTGTCTGTCTCGGAGTCTTCGGCTGCTTGCAGGTCTGTGCCCCTCACCAGGCCAGGCTGTGACCCCCAGTCCCACCTGTGCCCCCACCCCTGCCTGGGTCAGGTGGTACCATGGACACCTGTCTGGCAAGGAGGCTGAGAAGCTGCTGATGGAAAAGGGGCGTCCAGGCAGCTTCCTGGTGCGCGAGAGTCAGAGCAAGCCTGGGGACTTTGTGCTGTCCGTGCTCACACAGCTGCCAGCCACAGCGGACCACCGGCCCCCCGTCACCCACGTTATGATCCGCTTCCAGGTGGGAGGTGGCGCCAAGGTGGGGGCGTGGCTCAGGGGCGGCAGCGCCGCCAGGCCCCTCACTGTCGCCCCCGCAGCCAGACGGGAAGTACGATGTGGGAGGCGGGGAGCGGTTCGACTCCCTCGGTGACCTGGTCGAGCGCTACAAGAAGAACCCCATGGTGGAGAAGTCGGGGGCCGTGGTGCCCCTCAAGCAGGTATGGCCCCCCGCATGTGAGTCTTGGGAGCCAGAGGGGGCCGCTCCCCCCAGGGAAGAGGGCGCCGGGCAGCGCCAAGGCGGGGTGGCAGGGGAAGGGGAGTGGGACCTTGGCAGCTGCCCTGGGAAGGGCGCCAAGGGACCCGCCAGGCGTGGACACCGGGCCCTCCCTGCCAGCCCCTCAAGGCCACGAGGGTCAACGCCGCCAGCATGGAGAGCCGCGTGCAGGAGCTCAGCAAGGCCGCGGATGCCGGCGGGAAGGCCACGCAGGGCTTCTGGGAGGAGTTTGAGGTGCGCCCGCGCTCGCTGCCCCTCTCAGGCTCCGTCCTCGGGTGGGTGGAGGGCTCCTGGGAAGCGTCGGGGCCACGGCTGAAGCCCCCGTGTTCTGCAGATGCTGCAGCAGCAGGAA